CTCAATGCCCTGCTTGGAGTGAGGGGCCCAAATCCGACCCCAGGCTTTGAGGTGCAGCCCCCTCAGTGCCCAGTCCTGGGGCATGATCCCTGCCCTAGCCCTGCTAGCCACACTCGTGCTGATAGAAGCCAGGTTGCTGTTTGCCTGCTTGGCCACCTGGTCACACTGCTGCCTCATACTCAGCTGGCTGGTGGCCACTACCCCCAGGCCCTTCTCCACCCACCAGGCACCTTTCTAGTCACTCTTCCCCAAACCTGTAGCATTGCAGGGGGTTGCTGTGACCCGAGGGGTCCCATCTCCACCCTTCCCCTCAAGATGTCCATCCTCATGTTGGACCTCAAAGCTCAGAGCTACCTGCAGCTTGAGGAGCCCTAGGAGGGGCTGAAAGGCACTGTGCAAATCTCTGCTCTTCCTTAAACACCCCCCTGCAGCTGCTGCTGGGTTTAGATGTGAACCAAAGGTTATTAAACTTCTCCCTTCAACTGCAAACGGTGCCACAAGCATTAAAAAGCAAAATCAGAGTCACCATCATCTTACTCAGCAGCAAGTTATAGACAATATTTGCTTGACCATCTTCTCTGGAAAAGAAAAAAAAAGCCAAGCAGGTTTTTAGGGAAAAATGTTTGGGTTTAACTCTCAGAAACAAATTAAAAATAACAATAATATATATAATAATACAGAGACTGAATTGCTGAGCACCTAGTGCTGCTCTAATCCCTTCAGCAATCCTACATGTCCTGAGGGGTTTTCTTATTTGCTTCCACCTTATAGAGCCCCCTCTAAAAACATCTTTAGCTTTCAATTTACACAATAACCAACAACCCAGAGTAAAACCTGTAACCCCTCTAAAAGAAAACCTCTTCTCCTGGGCCCCTCTTTTGTACCCCCTTGCTTGGGTGGGGTGTCAAGCACCATCACCTGGCTTTGGGGAGGGCTTCCAGGTGCAGCTTTTTAGGGTAGGGTAAAATCCAGCTTATTTGGGGCTTTTTTTCTTTTCCTTCCTTCCCTTTTCTTCTCTTTTTCCTTTCCTTTGGAGCTGGGGGTAGAGTGGGGTTTATTGAAGCAAAGGGAGTGTTTGGAGCTGTGGGAAGAGCTGCTGAGCATCCCTTTTCCACCCCAAAATACAGGTATGGTTACCAGCAGCTGGCTGTGGTTGAGGATGGGTAGGAGGGAGGGTGAAGTAGCCCTGGGACTTTCCCCACCTTGCTCTGGGCTACCTAGAGCTGCAGTCCTGAGCCCCCCCTGCTGCTCCCTGCCATGGGCAAGGTAAGCTCTGCTTCTGAGAGCCAGGGGGGGCACAACTTGGTTTGACCCCCTCCAGGGGACACCCATGGGGCTCCTCTGTGCAACCTCTGGCTTGGAAGCATGGGGTGACTTTGAAACTTTAGGAAATAAGCATCAAAGAGCTTTTTGGGAGAGAGAAGGTAAATGGCTTTTAGCTTTTGGGAGAAAAAGTCATTTTTCCATGTTTTTCTTTCCTTTGTGTTTTTAAAGGAAGAAAAAAAGTGAGGAAGAGGGTAGAGAGGTGAATGGAACCATGGCAGCCAGAGCAGAAAACTATGTAAATACCTTTTAATACATCCTTAATCTTTATCTTACTAATACTTATAGTTATTTAAAAAGTCTTTTAAAATCACATGACTTAAAGTTTTTAGTAAAACTTTTAGCAATTTAATGTGGGAAGTGCAGCAAACCTTTTAATCTTTTCTTTAGGAAGTGGGAAGGATTTGTTCTCATAATTGTGGGGCATGGTAAGAATTAAAGTGCCCTAGAAGAGTTTTTGATGTCTTTTAATATTACATGACTTAAAGCTTTTAGTAAAACTTTTACTAAAACTTTTAGTAATTTAATGTGGGAAGTGCAGCAAACCTTTTAATCTTTTCTTTAGGAAGTGGGAAGGATTTGTTCTCATCATTGTGGGGCATGGTAAGAATTAAAGTGCCCTAGAAGAGTTTTTGATTCCCTTATTCAATACCCTTAAAGATTCCTCAGTTTCAAAGGTCCTGTTTATTTTGAAGACTGAAATGATGTTTTACTTTCAGCTGTAACAGTGAAGCAAAAATGGAGAAACAAATGAAGCAAAAGCAAACAAACAAAGCCTACAGCTTTTAAAATAGGATTATAAATATTTTCCCCTAATCAGAGCTGTAACAATTTAAATGCTTGCTGCTTTTACTTGGTAGTTTGCTTCCTCTGCAGCTGGAATCCCTTCTCACTGATGCTTTTAAGGGAAAGGGATTTCACAAAATAAATGAGCTGCTTCAAGAGAGAGAGATAGAACCTCTGCAGAAATACAGCAGATCCCTCCTCGACCAGCTGGATAAAGCACTGAGGAAGGTGAGCAACAGATTATTGTCATTTTTAGGGTGAATTTTAACACCCAGCTCTGAGGGTGCTGGACTAATGAAGCGTGGCACTCTGTGTTTCTCTAGGAGCTGGACAAGAATGAATTCCAGAATATTTCCCTGCTGCTGAAATGTATTCAGCTCTACCTTAAAAGTGATCTTCAAGAAGGGATGAGCTTGTTAATTGAGCAAGGGCTGGTAAAAAAGATGAGTATAATATTCTGTGCAAGTTACTGATTTAGTCTCTGTGTCAGGAATAAGAATTCCAAGGCAGGGAGAACTAGGGGGTGGCTTGTTGGCCATGAGAAATGAAATATTTTTAATATATATTGCATGAACTGAGTAGAGTATTTTTTAAGCTGTCAATGGAAGCAGAGGATGAGTTTTGACAATTCACATTTATGGAGTTTCTAAATGTATTTGAAGTGCTCCTGCAAAATACAAATTTTAGCAGTAGAACTGATAAATACTTTGAGATTTTATAGCTCTTAAAACTGAAGTGCTCTTTCTGAAGGTCCCTTTGTAGACACATAATAAACCAGATGCATTTACTCTGCAATTGTATTTTATTTGTTGGGAAAATACTGATTTTAACTGGTTAAACTTGTAGTAGCAGAAATACACTAGTGCTGAAGCTGAGAAAAGGGGGCAAAAGATGGGTTGGGAAGGGAAGTGGGGGGAGAAATCCTGCTGAGAAAGTCCGAGGACATCATTTCTCATGTAAAATTTGGCCTCCTTAACGTGTAGCTTTTGACACAGTGTGAGACTCTGAAGTTCTGAACCCGTGCACAGGGTTTCCTGCAGCTCTCTCTAGTTTGAGGGCTGTTAATTATTTTTTTTCCCAGATTCTAACTGATTGTTTTAACTTGTACCTGGTGTCTTGGTTTGAACGAGCAAGAGCATTCGTGGCTCTCATCGATGCAAATGAGAATAAATTTTTGATGCTCCTTTTTGAAGACTTCTTTGACACAGCGTTGGTATGTACACGTGGGGAGGGGGCAGAGATTGTCTTTATTGCAGGAGAAAGCTGTTGTGACAAAGTTTTATGCTTTTTTCTTAAAAAAAGAGTAGTTAAAGCAGACTTTGTGCCCTAGAGCTGAGCTCAGGGGGTGAGGATGGGCAGTGCCTGGTGTTGGGCTGAGTTTTGACACACTTGGGAGAAGCTGCACAGGGCTGCAGTGTTGTCTCATTTTTTTTTTAATGTGAAAATCTCATTTTCTATCCTGAAAGTGCCTCTTTTTGCAGGAAAATGTGCAAGAAATTCTGCTGCATTTTGTGAACGAAAGCTTTTGTGCTGAAACTTTTATAAACCCAAGTTACTTTAGGTGCAAACATTTTTTTTCCATGGTGGCCCTGCTGACTTGTTCCTGTGGTGTTTGAAAGAGCTGGTTTACTTTGAAAGAATAATCTGAGCTTTTTACTATTCTCATTTTAAGATTCTATTTTAAGTGGTTGTCACTTTAAAGGTCTTATAAGGTGATGCTCATTTATGTTGTAAGGTTTTTTTGTTGTTTTTCCTAAAGGGACTTGAGGAAAACACTTAAATGTGGTTTTTTTTCAAGTGTCTGCACACTTTCCAGATATCACACATTACAATAAATAGCTTTGTAGTGTGTAAACATAAAATGTGGCTTCACATAGTCCCATATTTGCAATAAAAGTAACAAAGTGATGCCATGATGTGGGTTTTCCAGGAAACCTGAGGGTGCTGAGCTCTTGAATGCTGCTGAAATCCCTGGGGGGAGTGGGTGCTTTGCTCCCTTTACCCCCCTGCCTAGTGCTGACCTGTTAATGGGGGTGACCATGGGTGACATACCAGCATCAGGTCACCCTGCTTTCCCTCATGGGGGTCCTCCACTCCTGGGTTAGGTTATTTAGCCCCTGAAAGTGGTGATGGTGGGGGCATAAACACCTCAGCACTTGGAGTGCTGCTGTCTTTGGGTTGTGAGGTGGTAACAAAGGCTTCCTT